GTTTTCTTTACTCACTGCCCCCCCCCCAAAAAAAACCCTGATTTTTTTTTTTTTCCTCTCTCATACTAATCCAAAGTCTAAGGGGGGAAATAAACAGCCAGTGGCTGGACGTTAAGCCTTTTTCCCCCCTTTGCAGAGAGATTTTAGCTGACACCTTTTGAATGGTAACTAGTTGAGTTTTTTATATTTTTAATGCTCTTTAGTTATTAGACATTTTGAGTAGAAAAATCAGAGAGGAAAAAACCCGTTCCAAACGTCTAAAGCTGTGAGCCCAATTTTCTTTTCCTGGACTCAAAGACATAGGTATTTCCACTCTGAAAATCAAAACTCCAGTGGAACTCTAAAAAAGATTTGAAACATTTCTCTCTGGAACCGAAAATAACAGAAACTCCTGTCTCAATTATGCAGGTTAACCCTGGGTAGAAAACACCTGAAGTCTATTTCTCTCAAATTCCAGTTAAGACGTTTCCCCTCTAACCGATTCTTACTGTGGAAAAACGGGGGTGGGGGTGAGGTGGAAAGGAAAAATTTTGCATAAATTCAATATATTTTCAGCAGTAGAAAAATTCCTTAAATATCCTTCAGGTTTTCTCAACTTGGCTATTGTATAAACCCTTAATCCTAAAGGCTACGGACAACCAAAGGTGAAGTGTAGAAGGTTTCAATGTACAGACTCCTTTCAAAGGGAATACAGAATGACCCTCCAGCACTCCTGTTTAAAGAGCAGTAACAAAAAAGGAAATCGAACTTAGAAAATACCTGTGACCGGACACGAGAGCAACGCCAGCTCTCGTAAGTGGGCCAGAGAAGCTCAAATGCAACCAAATTAAATGTTTATATTAATTTCATCGCTCTTCCCAAGCCTCACAGATGAGAGCTGGAGGGAGGGGGTGTTGGGAAGAGAAAGAAATAAGTTTTATTTCGGGTTTTCTGATCGAGCAAAAGGAAAATGAATTAAAAGAAATGCGTGGGATGAGCCCAGACTAAATCAATACACTTTGTAATCAGCCCGGCAAGGGTATTTAGACACAATGACTTGGAAATAATTAATAGTTATAAGGAGGGAGTAGGGTGAGAAGGGGGGCAAGGGATGTCACCATATTTTATCTGAGCACTTTACTCTCCACACTAAACTTTGATCTCAAGATTTTCGGATTTAGGAAGGAAAGGGGAAAAAAAGAGGAAGTCCAGTATTTTGAAACACCTACCGGCTTGAAGATGGGCACATTCCTGGCTCCCAGCACCTATTGCTGCGCTCGCGCCGCCCATGCTGGCGCTTTGGGCACAGAGAGCCCCCGAGTTCAGCTCGAGGCTCTAAAGTGTCCCCTTGCCCCCTCGTCCCGCCGCCCCGCGTCCTGGCCCCGGCGCCCGCCGCCGCCTCAACTTACCGCGGAGTCCGGGGAAGGAGTGGGAGCGCCGCCTTCACGCCCGCGGAGGAGGCGCCGGCAGTACCATGGTCCCCGGCACCGCTGCCGCTGCCCCTGGTCCGCTCGCTCGCCGCGCGCTCTCTTCCTCTTGCAAACTTTCGGGTTCTGCGATTGACAAGAAACCGGGGCGACCCTCAGCAAGTCTTCCCAGTGCAGGGAAGAAATGAGGGGGCGGTGTGAGTGAGTAGGCTGGGGGGCCAAGACAGAGAGGGCGGCAGCCTGGGAGGACCCGCGAGCGCGCGTGGAGGGAAGAGAGGATGTGGCTCAGGGAATCCCAGCAAGGATCCCGAGACGGGGAAATCGGCCGGAGCAAAGTCTGAGCACCTTCCCCGGGATCTTACAAAGTTGCAACAACAAAAAAGAAGGGGGGAGGAAAGGGGGAAGGGGGTGGGATAGGGATACGATCGCAGGCGCAAGGTTTGGAGTTACAACTGTTTATTTAGTCCTTATTCTCTCAAGGGGCGGGAGCTGTGCGGGAATGG